AGCATTTATATTCAAATCACGTCGTCTTCCACGACGTTATAGGCAGCGTCATTATTTGAGTTCATATGCTTGTTAGTTGCTTGTAGTAGCGTTTAATTTTTAAACACACAATTATTTCTTTTGCCGAAATGCTGTAAGCACTCGAGTGCCGTTATTGTGGGCACCAGCTTACTAAAAAAGCCATATTATCTTCTTGCTACTTGCTGTGACCAAATAACATTCTGGTTTTATTTCATTTATTTCCTGCCCCTTCCAGCCAGAGAGAGTACGACGCCGCTGTAAGGGAATACTGTCAAACAATCGGCGTTGTTGAACCATCCTACGTTGTTCTTCGGGTGAGTTCGGTTTGTCTTGTTTTTTGCGGTCCCTTCGCATGGGCGCGTTTGCCACTGTAGAGTACCCTTAAAGCTGATCAACCTCGGGCCACATGACCGGTTAGTTCTCGCAGTCCAAGAGGATAGTTATTTATCCAGTCCGCGGAGGACCACCAAAGAAGCCAGAGTCGCTGAACGCATTTAAAAAAATTTTATCGGACAGTTCGTATTGCTAACAAGCATAAGGAAGATCAAGATTGATGCCTGTGTTTTATCTGCCACCATGAGCTCAGCATGCAAAACCCGAAGACTGCAGATGGAAGATGCACATAATCCGGTGGGACTTTGTGTAACACTGAGTTTGTCAGTGATATTCCCGTGCACTTGTAATACCTATTGTCTCTCCTCCCGTACACGAGCTGTGCGAGTCCTGTCCCACTTATCGCTCATTTTGAAGTTGCATTTTTGGAGGGGACTGGTCTCCTCGACGCCCACTGTAACGCTATTAACGGGATCTACGTGTTTTCCGCCTCGCCATCGGAAATACTTGGAAATTGCACTGTAGAAACTTGCCGGTCGATAATTTTCCCACCCACTACACCCAACCGTCTTTTCGATGCCCAATTATAACGCATGTATATATGTGCGCATCATCTGCACCAATCCCTCTTCCATAATCTACCTGGCCCGCTGGTAAAGTCAGGATTACTGGAGACGGGCTCGGGCACAGCGGTCGACGCCGTTAAACGAGTCGTCTACATGTGCCTCACACGATCTGGTCCACATATATAGGACTATGGTTTTCGGATCCCATTTGAATGGGAGTGCCATAGAGACTACATTAAGAAGGAGCCACGACAGTCTGACTCTCTGCTCTGAGAAAACCGAGTTAACGTCTCAGTTAGTAACCTTCCAAGCCGCCGCTTTTATTATAGCCTGATGGATTCAAACACATCAGATTTTTATAGGGAGCCATGTGCTGAAGTGTTGGGACAGTGTATTCCTCAGTATCACAATCTCACACTCAATCCCCACTCCAGGCAATAGTTCGTTGCCCGAGCGGGTCAGCTCTCTGATACCGGGATTAGGTGCAACCGGCTGACAGAACTCAGTAGGCCCTCTAAGAGAGCAAAAACTCGACATGGTCTAGCCGCACAACAACGGGTTTTCAAAAAAAGGGGGGGGCGATGCATATGCACGAGTTCAGTATATGGTTTGGTTTTCAGTTAGAATCCCGACGACTACCATCATGGATGCTATCGCCTCTGCGTCGCACGCCCAGCAAGGCGAGGTAATAAGTACTCGTTACCTATGCAAACAATTGAACGATAACTATGCGTCCCGCCGGACTTTCTGCTTTTTCGTCAGTTGAAAATGTACTTTTTCTAGTTTATTTTCATTCATTACCTTCCAAAGTTTGTTGTGATGGTGCACGATTCACAATCAGACATAAATTTGTAAGATCTCTCGGTTAGATGCCCATGACTTCACAGGCCGGCTCCCAGGCAGTGATTGATTACGCGGACGCCACCTTTGTAGTGGAATCCGATGAACTCCTAACAGCAGGCTAACATTCTTTTATTTCCTCAGTTTTTAGAAAACGGTCTTATTAATCAGCTAGCTCGGTATCTGGAGGCCTTACATAAACCGTCTAATGTCGAACATTTAACTAAGGAACACACAGCCCTCCTTCTCAACAGCTACGCTCGACTTGATGATGAAGCGCGGATCGATTCTTTTCTGTCCGTGAGTTCCCTACGCAATATCTTTGTTTTATTTGACGTGTACTTTGCCCTTGGACAAAGGAAGGTGTGTAATGTAAATTCCACAAACACACTCCAGCAGACAATTTGTGGTTTTACAGAGCAGCACATTATCCCACCGCCTTCTGCTCACACAGGCCATTTTTTTCACTCAGACAAAACGAAAACATCAGGAGTGTATGCCCAGTGTTATTCGTTAGTTTACAGTTATACGCTCCCTGAATCCCTGACAATACTGCATTAGCCTTTAGCAGCTCAGATTTATAGGCTTGTGTGGGGCTATTTATCCGATTGGCTGAATCGGCACAGCTTGAGCGAGTAACTCAGGCTCGCTGTCATATTCCCGCCACTGACGCAAGTCAATTGATGAGACGGGACTAGCTTTGAGGGAGCATTATGTTATCAGGGATATACTTAAACCCAGCTGATTTGTCAACTTGTTATATGACAACGGGTTGTCAGGGGTGGAGTTCTCTTTACTTAACGGTCCTCTTAGTCTTTTATGTCTAATTACATCTCACCTCCATTAATCTCAATTATTTCCCTCCTAGTCCTATCATTGTACATATCTTAACTGGAGTTCCTAAGGTTTCTGTCAAGTCCACTCCGAGGAATCGTCAAATTGATAAGTGGACAACAAGTAAAAAGCCGCTATCTCAACATGTGTACGATAGAGGTTGCGTTCAATATGGATGTGGTGGTTAACTGTTTCGCTAGCAATCCCGGGGATGAGAAAAATAGGCACAGCTGCTGTCAGGGCCGGACAAGGCAGAGCCGGACGAGTGAGTTCCCTTAGCGGTGGGTGAAGGTTCATCAACGAGTGTCAATATCTCCCGACCTAAACCGGCAAGGCAACGAGCTCGTGGCTCAAAGGTTAGCGTGTTAGACTCTGATCGGAAAGGTCGCCAGCGTGAGCCTCGGATGGTGCACCACTTGGGGTTGGGTATGACTGGTTGACGACAGCTAATAAGCCAGAAATGGCCGTTCCAGTCTCCCTTGTTTTTGCCGGCAATAATATCTCCAAAATGGCACTGTAATCGTTGAGTGGGTTGATGCTATGTCTTCATTTATTTAATGCCAATCCTTTATTCTCCGTCGCAATGATCTGGCGAAGCCTGTCGCGGCTTCTTCTTTTGGCTAGCTAGATTCATCCAACCTCACTTGATAGCATACCATGGACTGTTTTTTCCCCTCTTGGAGTTGCCTGGCCATCAGCCGCCTTGTCAGTGCGAACTAGTTGTCGAAGAACGTAAAGTTAGGCGAATTTTTCATTGACTGGTAATGAGATTGAATAGTTTTGACTGTAACCAGCGCAGCGTGAACTCATGAATAAAACCGTAGAGTGTTCGTTTCAGACGCTCAACGAAGAATCCAACCAGGGTTTTGATTCTGCTGATGATGGTGCGCTCAGTAATCGAGCGCTTTCGCTTTTCGAATGTTCCATTCTTATATTGCTAGTCTTAACCCCCGTGCCTAACTCTGTGCCTGCAGATGCTGTCTACTCAGCCCAAGATCGGCAGCGAATTTTACCCCTGTGTGAACGTGCTTCGTCGAGCTGGCTATCCCCGACAGGCACTGCGACTTGCCTCCCTCTCCGGCAGCCCCACTGACTGTGTCCGGATTCTCGTGGAAGATTTGAAGGATTTCCCTTCAGCCCTACAGGAAATTAACGCGTTGCCTTTCGAGGAGGTTTGTGCTTACGAAACCATCCATCTTTTTGCCACAGTCTTTTGACTAACCTCAAAATGTTCCTTTAGTACAGGGTCGTGAGAACTTAAACGTCCACCTAACAGTAGCCGACGCATTTTCCCCAACGTCAATTCTGAAAAATCCATTTGTTGTCCTTTTCCTTTCTCTCCTGTAGGCCTTAAACATGATCTGCACTTATGGTAGCTTGCTCATCGAGGCACTTCCCACCGGGACGGCCGAGCTCCTGGACAAACTGTGCTCCAATCCAAGTATGTTCAAACCTTTTTGGTCCAAATTATTTATACGGATGTCTCCCCCTACACGAAACTCTTCTAACTGGATCGCACCTGATACCAGGATGTGGGATTTATCCCCCAGGGGTAGAATGCTATGCAGATTAACCTTAGACGGGATTATTAAAACCGAGCTTGTGGATGGTTCCTTGATTGGTTTTTATCATGCATGACCTGAACGGTCTCAATGTATGCGAGCTTTCTTATGAATGTTAGATACAGACAGGTTATTAGTAGCCATGTGAATTGCTTGTTCCTGATTGTTATCTCTGTCGCTGTGGGTCCTTGAAATCTGCCTGCAAGGCAGTGATGAAAGGAATGGACCTTCTGACTAGAGGTTCGCAATTAATCGATCCCAATGTTTTCAGTGGGCTTTGTGATATTTTAAAAGGTGATCTGTGCGCCATGCCACAACCGCCCGAAGTCTGATATCTCTATTGCTGCTGATACGCGACTGTTTGTTTGCTAGATTGGGGATTACCTGTTTGGCATGTGGTATTCTACGAGGGCTACCCAACCATTTGCCGTCCGCAATCCGTCTATACCGTGGGATACGAACCTCCTCAAACAAAAGTATTGAATTCATTTAACGCAGTTGTGAAGAACTCGGCGGCCTCGGTGGGATTCGAGTCCACGACAGCAAGAGAAAAGCTGAGCGGGTAACTTGACCCAAGTTTGAATCAACTCGTGGCCCTCGACGGAGCCGCAGATCTAAGTTGGCTCGAGCGTTGGCTGTGATGAAGTCTCCCCCTTGTTGGCGTGCGTTCGAATCCCATTGAGGCCGCCGAGCTTTTAAGACTGGGCCAAATGAGTTATTTAAGTCTACTTTAGCCTCCCATTTTAGCAAAGTAACTGGGGAAACGCGGTTAGTTCATGCCTGCCAGCATTCTTTCGGCTGAGACTCCGTTCACCATGGTCAAATTAAATAGAAAGAAGAAACATTTGTTTCAGTAGCATTGAGTTTTCCTTCACTGGTCATCCCTATCGGTATAATTACCCTTTTATTAAAAAGAAAGAATTCACTGACATTTCGTGTCTACTACATATTCTGTTGGTGATGTACTTCGAGACTTACCCACATGAAACTGTCGTATATATTGGAAAATCTGCATCCCAAGAAGTATAATTCGGTAAAAGAA